TCTGCTTTTTGGATGGATTACGGACCAGAGTGGAGCTCAGTGCCAGAACAAAATGAGTTATACGAGACTTTGGCAGCAGCGACTGCACTTGTTAGTGGGATGAAGTCATTATTAGTTTGGCCTTTTACTGGAGTTTGCTGTCAATAAAAATACAGAATATTGTAGATTTATCACCTTTAAAGACATGTTCTTTCCGTACTGTGTTTATTTTGAGCTTGAGAATAGTGTTTGTGTGAAGCTGTTGCTGCTTCTTTTGAGGACACGGTCATTAAAAACCTCCTGTGATGTGAGATGTGTGTGAAGAGGTGGTTAACTTTGTTTTTGTTCTTGTTGCTGCTTTAAAACTAGAATCAAACACAACCCCCGTACGTCATGTTTGTGTTTGGTCCATTCCTTTATTTCATCGGCGCCGCGCCCCGTCCAGCTTTGCAGAGATTTATGGTGGGGTGGAAGCGCAACACATGTCGCATGCCAGGAGTTCTCTGAAGCTAGCTGCCCTATTACAGGGATACACAAAAGCCCATTCTTCATCTGGAGAATGCGGCATGCTGAGATGTTGGACATAAACACCAGAACAAAAAAAGAGTGTCGTAGTAGTGGACGGGTCAGGCTCGGGTTTTTCATACCCTGCTGACATTTCACCAGAATATAAATATAGGAGGGTGTTCATCTTAAAAAAAAAATCCGAGCATGTAAAGGCTGAGCTGATCGAGATCATTCATGTATGATCACAGGCGGCCCGTCTTTCATCGGTTCTGACAGGATGACACTTGTTGGCATGGTGGTCCGTCAGTGGGCTGAACGGAGGTGATGTACAGACTGGTAGGATAATACAGCTGATAGCTTCTCCAAACTGTAAATACGGTTTCTCTCCAGATAAAGTTAGACGTGCCCAGTAGTGACGTGCAGGTCCGATGGATTCTGGTGAACTTATCGGAAAATATCACGGGTTCACGACGGGTCGGATCAAAAAATGACAAAGCGGCGCTGTGACTGGGTTATAAATAACTTACAGAAACAGTCCGTGCAGGAGGCTGGACCGGGATTACAAGTTCACCATCTCCCTCCGTCACACTGGAGGGTGCAGCCGTCACCAAACTACAGCCTACAGATGGTTTCTACTGCAGATGTTTGGTGCAGTCTGACCTGTGAGTGGAGCAGGTGACTGGAGGACATTAACCTCCACTGACTGCACAGCGCTCAGCTGCTCTCACTTCTGGATGATTTGAGGTCATGTCACTTAAAATGGCCCGTTTGTGGTAGATACGGGGGAAAACAACAACAGAAAGGCCCCGACACTGTATGTTCATATAGCTGGTGTAGTAGGAACAGAAATTATGTCACAGTCAGGGTGAAGGTGTCCCAGAAGGCCGGTAGCAGGTCAGGTTGGTTTTCGGCATATGTGTTGTAAGATGTGAAAACCAGAACATAATAGAGCAAAAGACGCTTGGCTCATTTAGACACAGTTTGTCCAACAGATCATCTCCGACTGTCTGCAGCACATGTAGCAGAGCATCTATCACCGGTCAGCAGGCGGTGGTGCAGAGTCAAGCTGTCAAATGCATCAGTGGAAAGTTTAGAAGCAATAATAATCTCATTGTTTTTGCTTTTTCGTCCAGCTGTATGTATATGTATGGATATGAACACTGGCTCATATATCTACCAGGAGTTTCTAGTCCCTATAAATCAGCTCTAAAGCTCCCGGGTCAGTCAGGCTCTGTTGGGACCACAAAGCCTCGGGGATACGACAGCGTCACCGAGTAGCTAAGACGCATGCTGTAGTTGTGAACTGTGGCATTTCAAACGGTGACCTTAAGTGGCAGTTACATGACAATTACTCTACAAGTTTACACGTATGTTCCATAGAACATGTCTATAAACAACATGGGCCAATATCAAAGTTCTTCCTCCTACAAGTCCAGTATGGATTGGGCTCTAATCACAATGTTCTCATGATTCCATACCTCGTTAGATCTATCTGATTAGCTAATAGACCTACGGAGCAGAATAATCAGCCTGTTATTTATTGTCTCCCTACTGGCTACACGCCCAGCTCTAATAAACTAATTTCATTAATTATTTTCTGTTTCTGGTCCCGTGATGTTGCTTGTAGTCACCATCTCTCTCCGCTGGGCTTCCTGGTCCACCAGTAGAGACTGACCTCTGGTGACGAGTGTAGAACATCACCTCCGTGCAGCATCTCTACATCAGTTTAATCTGCGCTTCTGATGGTGTTTAAAATCATACCTTGTGGATTTCTCCTCTGTAATACCTTAATGCCAGCCGATCCCAGTGCAAACGCTGCACATGTTGGTGGAAACCGTGCAAACAGTGAACTGTTATTTTTGCCTTCTGACAATAAGGCTGGCATCAGCAGATCACACATGACGAGCTGCGGGACTGAAGCCTCGGAGAGTGGCGTGTGACACCATGAAGGTAGAGGAGGATGTCAGGAGGTAGCGGCTCCGTGTCGCGTTAGCCTCCAGGCTATGGGGTGTTTCATCAGGGAGCACGGCTAACCCCTGCATCCTGTCTCCATTTCCTGCTCCGTGAATCATGCCAGTCCCAGCAGACAAACAGACAGACGGACAGACAGGCAGAAAGACAGGCAGGCAGGCAGGCAGGCAGGCCGGCAGCCCACTCAGTGGAGCAGAAACACCAGGAGCTCAGCGGCTGCCATGGATACACTCCTGGAGTCTCTCTGCTGCTCTCTCTCTCTCTCTCTCTCTGTGTTTACTGCATGCATGTGTGCAAGCATGTGCGGAGGTTTGTTCTGGAGGCCTCGGTCACTATATGAAGAAGGATGCATTCGTGTGTTTGAAGTGGTAATTTATTATTTTTTTGCTCCATGTTGTTTTACACAGCTGTTCACCAGAAATCATAGCTGATGCTCTCTGTTGACTCTTAGTAAGTGATGCTATACTTACATTAACCACACAACACACTGATGGGTCTGAAAGGCAGCTTAACTGCCAAAGTTTCACCAGCCTGAATCAGTGAAACCAAAAACCATCTGATTTTCACATTTTCCACAGTTTGAAGTGTTTATCTGTGACGTGTAGTTCTGTGGAGAAACTTAACCGAAGTTTAAAACTGTGATATTTCATCAAAATCATTTTACACTACGTTTGTACCTTAAACATTCAAAAATAGAACATTTTCTAGAACAAGACTCTGTAAAAAAAACAAACCTTTACAGTCCTCAGTGCAACCAGGAAGTCACCAGGAACTCGGCTTTTTTTTAAAGTTATTTTTTTGGCCTTTTTGCCTTTATTGGATAAGACAGTTGAAAGAGAGACAGGAAAATGGGAGAATGGTTGTAGCAAAGGGCCATGAGCTGGATTCAAACCCATGGCCGCTGCATATAGCCCCTGTACATGAGTCACCAGCTCAACCAGTTGAGCTGTGGTAGCGGCCCAGTAACTCTGCTTTTAACAAGAGTCATGACAAGAATTCAGGGACTTTTCAGGTGAACTGGGCTGATCTGGGCTGATCTGGGCTGAACTGGGCTGAACTGGGCTGAACGGGCTGAACTGGGCTGAACTGGGCTGAACGGGCTGAACTGGGCTGAACTGGGTTGACCTGCAGGCTGAGTTGAGAGGACATGGGGATGGAAACAAATCAAAATGTAAATTGTAAAATATCTACATCCTATATAGACTCGTCTTTTATTTTTATTTTTATTTTTACTTTTTAACAGTATTTATTACATCTGCGAGCAAATTTAAAAGTTTTTTAATTGTAAGATCATCAAAGAAATTTTAACTTTCCTATTTTATGATTTGTGCCGTTATAACTGTGTCATCATGGACGTTTTAGAGAGTTTTCCGTGTTTCTCGCCGTCGCTGAGCTTCTTCTGTGTCGATGCAGGACTTCATTAACGTGAAACATGAACCCAGACTGAGTGAAAAGGCGACAGACACAACAAACACCCAGAAGCTGCTCCGAGTTCAGAGGGTTAAGCTAAAGCCGATCTAATTAGGATTGTTTTAATGATAAATGAAACGACAGTTTTAGCAAATCAAGTCGGCTGCTTGTAGCATCAAATCAACAAAGGCTCCGGAGCCGTGTGACTGAAATCCTCCATGGCCTGGTTCTGTTTTTACACCTACAGTGTCAGGGTTCGGTTTAGTCTTCAGCCAGCTTTAGTTCACTTTGGTACCAGTTGAAGTGTTCCAAAGAACAGACGGATCCAGTTAGCGACCAGACAGAGAAAATGTCGTGGAGCATTTAGCAGCTAAAGAGCCAGACGGGTTTGTTCAGATGTTGTCGGAGACCAAAATAGACGTGAAAACAGGGTGAAGGTTGGACTTCCATTTATCGAGATGATCAGATACCCGACAACGTGACAACTCCATGTCTGCTGACACGTTGTTAGCTGAAACAATCAAGTACGATAATCCAGGTTTGAAGGAAAACCTGCAGCAGTAGATCACATGCAGGAGCTACCGAGAGCATGATTTCTGCTCCGAGACATATGGTCTAAATCATGATGCTGGTTTCCTGCTATCGTGGTAAAGTTTGACTTGAGACGAGCATCATGCAGCTCTATGATTAGAGTACGTGTGTTTTTGTTCATTTAAGTGAAGAACTTTGGTCAAAACAACAAATCATTGACTTACACCTAAGGATCATTTTATTACCTTAATGTCTGACAGCATACGAAATATTACAATCGACAGAAAAACTCTCTTGCTTCTCTTTATTTTAACTTGTATGAGAGCTGAAGGAAGCATCACTGGAGACAAGATGGTGGACCATCAGACATTAGTGACTCCAAAAGCTAAAGGACGGTTCTGTTGAAACAGAACTACAGAGCAAACCTTTGGCCAACCAAAGGGTTTTTTCATGAAGGATCATCAACCAGAGCAGCATGAAAGCTCATTACTGTTATTATCACTATTATTATTATTATTATTATTATTGCACCACAGCAAAATAATATTAACTGACAGTTTTTTCGTTGGATGCAGTTTTTAAATGAGTGATTCTCTCCTCAGGAGGTCCATCGGATCACCACAGGCGATGGCATAAAGCGTGCTGACAAGGACGAGGCGGCGGCCAGCGAGGTGGGCTGGATGACGTCGGTCAAAGACTGGGCCGGAGTCATGATATCTGCTCAGACGCTGACAGGAAGAGTTCTGGTGAGTCCACGCTCCTCCTGTGTTTGATCTTCAGGACCTACATCCAGCCGGCTGTTGGTTGAGACGCAGCGTGACAGTCGATCACCGCGGAAACTTCCTGGTGACAGCGAGGCACTCGGGCTGAACTCCCTCATAGTTTATTCGTCTTGTGAGAAATCTTTGTTATTTCAGGACTAACTTTTTGCTCAGTGGAGCCTGCAGTGGGAAAAAGCTCCTAATTGGGTATGCTTGAATGTTCCTTGAATTTATTCCTGCTTGTCCTGCTCATAAATATATCATTTTGGTGTGCGTATCTTGGTCGGTTATCTCCCCAACAGGGAGGCAGACGCATCCAAACAAAGGCAAAGTGGAGAGATTTAGAGAGAGTATTGAGGTCATTGATCTAATGCAGTGATGTCCTCAGACAGCGGAGGGAAACAGATGCAGGAGGACAGAGGAGGGACGAACACGTACAGTTTACAAAGTTGGTCAAGTTGAAGTGGTTGCCATGGCGCCTGGCGTGTTGACGGGAGGAGCGCATGGCTCTTCGTCTACAGGTCATCATCTTGTATGTGGTCTCATCAGGTGCCTGTCTGGCTGTAGCCTGCCCCGCCCTGAGAACACACCGGTGCAGAGGACAGGGTCGGTGTGGTGGAAGCTCTGCCTTTCCTTTTCACTTTTTCTATTTCACAGGCGCGTGTGATGATTCGGCTATTAGCGCTTGGCACTGCGAGTACTAAGACCGAGGAGTGATGAAATGAAATGGCATGAGTGGGAGCGCGATGCCAAGGTTTGCCGCAGTGCTCGGGGCTTGATCCCACTTTCACCCACCCCCTTAAAAGTGGTGCGGCGTCTCCGGTTGGCTCGGCTCGTGGAGGCTGTTAATCATGAATGCTGGGCGAGCTGTACGCTCAACTGTTACGGTCTGATGTGGAATATTAATGAACCACTTAGTTCATGTTTGTGGTGCAAAAGCTGTAAGAACAACAAGGAGCGACTAAGAACGGGGTTTTATCATCACAACCAATACTGAATGTTATAAAAGATTTCTGGGTTTCCAAGGTGACAAACATTTAAATCTGAAGTGATTTAGTTCCGGCTGTTGTTGGTCGTCCATGAAGCTGACGTGTTGGAGCTTCATACCAGCAATGAACCAGCTTTTCTTTTTGCTTTCAGTTTGGGAACATTTTGCTCGTCTTTTTCCAAATGTCATAACGAAGATGAGGCAGAACTCAGGTCGCGTCATCTCCGGTCGGTTCAGTCGCTGGTGACGGTGAACGTTGACGGCAACATATTGCGAACAGGAGTGTGACATCAGCTCCTCTGCTTCCTTGGTTTTCCACTTTGAAACACCAACGCTGCCGTGCGAGTGTGTGTGTGTGTGTGTGTGTGTGTGTGTGTGCAGCTCGAGTGCTCTGTCTCAATGATGGCTTGACACACAACTGTTTAGCGAGTGCTCGTCTGTAACCATGGCAACTGCAGCTTACCTAAACACGGCAGATGTGTGTTTTCTGTTTCAGCCCTTTCAGGGGGCACATTAAAGCCTATTTCCAGGCCATCTGAGAGGGAATGTTTACTTGGGAGGGGCGTAAGAGCTGGGGACGGCTTAAATAGAAGGCAGAGGGTGTTTGTTTGTTTGTTTGTTTGTTTTTTATTTTATGCATCTATTTGTGTGTTTGCAGAGCTACTATTCCCACATCTTCACCCACCGTTTTCTCTTCAGTAACGTACTTTTTTGCGAGCAGGCTTTGCGCTCTTTAAATATTCTGAAACTGTTGGGTGTTTTTTTTTTTTGCATCTGCTTTAGTTAATGGAAGCCAGTGGAGGGTGAATCGACTGGTTTTTAACTTTACCTCTTCAGGAACATCAGCTGGTGTTGGTGCATGGGAGTCCAAGTCAAATGCAACTCCTCCAATTAGTATCACTAATTAAACCGGTCTAAATTAGAAGGAATAAATCTTTACCTTTAAAAACAACTGAGACACGGATTATACAAAAGGAGGCTGAGAGTTTATAGATCACAGTTAAACAGACGCTGGTTGATGTCTGTAAGTATTTAATCACTGGTGCTGTATCGCTGTTTTCACTTTGACACAAAGGGAGACAAGAAAAAGAGACATTAAATGAGACAAACATGACAAACAAATCTAGTCTCTGCTTTTAAAAATGTGTGCAGTCTCCATATAAACATCACATTTGATATCAAAAAGCCCAAAGCTGAGACATGAACTCATAAATCATTCATATGTATTGATGTTTTCTGTCCAGTTAGCTCGACAAACAGCCGGTACAACATGGCACAAAGGTTACACAGCTGGTTAATGTTTAAAATGTGTGATGTGAGGCTGGGTTTTCTGTCATAGATCTGCTCTGAGCTGGAGGGTTGTGGTCCTGCGTTACTTTAGCCGTGATCAGTTTACTTTTTATCTTCTGTTATTGCTGTTTAATTCTGAGTGTGTCTGCATTCATTGTATGAGCCTCAGCACCACTCAGCTCACGTTTTAAATAAAATAAATCATGTTTTCTGCAGTACATGATACATTTCTCTCATTTCTTTTAGTCTCAAACTAAAATTAACTCCAGTAGCTGCGGTGTGACACGTTTCAGCCAAATGCAGCATGTTGCCCAGAGACCAGGACGGCTGCAGACGGAGCTCAGTGTTTACCTCTGACAGTGACTGCTGAGTGACAGCCAGGTGCAGGCTGCCCTGTGGAGGGCCCACGAGCCCCATGTTCATTTGCCCGGCTGGCCTCACATCTCAACAGATTGTAAAAGATCAAACCTCGCCTTCAGGGCGATTTGATTAGCAAGGAGGACACTTCCCGATGACCTTTCAGTCTGTAAAGGTTTATCTGCAGGAGATCAGCGCTCTGCTCTTCCAGCACTCAAATAAAACGGGAACGCCAAGACCTCGTGTTTACTTTCAAATTTCAGGTCATGCAGCAGCTTGCTGGATGTAAAGTCACGGTTTCCCCCAGATTGGGGACACAGAAGGGTCCCATCTGTCAGCTTGTGCGTTATTGCGTTCCTCCTCCTCCTCCTCCTCCTCCCAGTCACTCCTTCATCATAAAGACCACCCTCCCTATTCATCACACATGTCATCACGCTGCTGTTTGCTCGCTTCAAAACAAACAAAACTCACGCTGAGTCCTGAACAGGTGGCTGCAGTTCCTACCTGCACCAGAAAACCCGGCAGGTCTCCTGTCATGTCATGCATCTACTTCCTGTTCAGTCACACTTCCCTGGAGGACGCAGACGGCAAGAAACTTCAGATGGGAAGTGTGTGAGGTCGAGGTGAGAGAAAATGTGATTTCTCTTAAATGACGGGACCCTGCTGAGTGACATTTAGCCCACGTGTGCTCGGCGCCGCGGGTCCACGGGAGGGCTGAGATGTCGCAAAGCTATTATTTTGGCCAAAGAAAGGTTTTCTATAAATGGAAGGGCAGAGATGCCCTCTGGCACCGCTGAGGTCGCAGTTTTTGCCCCTTAACCCCGGCCACAGTCACAGGTTGAGCAGAGTCAGAGGTGTTGAAGTCCGGCTTGGGTAAACTGTGATTGTTTGGCATTGCTGGTAAACACACTGGCTGCCTGTGCTCTGCTTTTGTCAAGGATTCTCACGTAGTTACCAGCTGTCTTAGAAAGGCATGCTGTGTGTTGTTATGGTCAAGACAGGAAAGGCTGCAGAGAAACGTCACTGTTTGGCATGTGAGTGTGAGGATACATACTGTGGAAAAACATCCATTAATAGCAAAGTAGTGTTTCAGTTTTTATTCAAGCGTTGTTTCCAGGTTCCTATAACGTTACTATGAAGTCAGCTAACGAGTTTTACTATCGTTACTTATGACAATAATATTTAGAAATGCCACAACACCATAAATTAGGCCGTCTGTGCCGTTATTAAAGGATTTCCATGATCCTCACTAGAGATGAAAATCTAATGATTGCATTAAAAAATATAAACGCTCTTGTTTTAGAAGAAAGTACACAAACACAAGCGCGTGAATTATCAGAATAAACAATCTAAACAGGTTCAGTGATTGTTTTGAATCACAAGAAAGAAGCACAAGAAGGCGCCGGGGTGGAGAATCTGGAGCCTCGTGGTAACAGCACTGATGACGCCACGTGCGGTTGCCAGGCTAGTGGGTAGAGGGATGTAAACAAGAGCCAGGATGCCATGTCTCTGCAGGAGGCTACAGTGTGGACGTAACCCCACAGCAGCAGCTCAGTGTTCAGGCTGCACACAGGGTCCATCTCTTTGGGATTTATTCTGCAGACATGTTGCTGTGCTTGAACCCACCATGCCATACGTTTTTCTAATTATCGAGTAGCTTCAATACCAACAACACGTATGTTACCTTCTGAACAAAACAAGCTCAGTCGTGTGTTCAAAGCATCACCTCTCGTGACGGCCCTGTTGCAGATGGCACTGGGTGTGACGGCATTTTAAACTGATTTCTGAGCAGATTTATGTGTTTATCCTTGATGGACATTAAAAAAAATCGCACGTCATTCCAATAATATAAGTTCTGGTTTGACTTTGTAGATTTTGGCACAAAATCCGTCCGTCAGAGTCCCGGTAAGAACTGAATCTTCAAACATTTTCATCCAACGAGTTTTGCAACAGACAATCTGCCGAGCACGCTCCCTTTAAGGAGGAGTGTGCAGGACACCGTGAAAGCCTTCGACACACGGCTCTTGGAGAAGGATCTGGGATTTAGAGGGTGAGGCTTCTTCAGCCCCCTCGGCCCTGTCTTCTTTCCCCATCCCAAACCTTTACATTTTAAACAGTGAGCTAAAGGTGTCGGCGCCGGCTAAATCACTTCTAATCTCGTCATCGAGCTGTCAGACTAAAAGTGCTCAGGATTCAGTCGTCCCCGCTTTCTGGGGTCAACATGTGGAGGAAATCATATTGGATGACAGGGTGAAGGAGTCATCTCCTGCTCTGACCGCGGTAATCTAGATTTGGCGGCTGGGAGCAGCCGCAGGGGGAGAAAGGAGCTCTGAACAAAATTATAGGTGGG